TGTATCAATTTGCATGGGTTTAGGGTGTTTCAAAACTTCAACTAATGGTAACTTTAAGTCAAAGGACATTTGTTTCCTGCTTGATAAGAAGTGTAGAGGAGGAAGTTCAATAGTTGGCACAGTATTCTATGAGCATAGTAAGGGTTCTGTGCCAGTATTTTTTATAATTCTCTTGGATTTTCTAAAAGTTGAGAGGAAGGAAAAGAAGAGAAAGGGCACTCTTCCCCCCCCAACACCTTCTCTTAGTAGGGAGAAAAATCTTTCCAGAAGCTTTTACCTTTAGTCTCATTGCCGGTCACTGGTAGAGAGGGATGAACTCACCTGACTTAGAGTAATCAGGATTCACTCCCAAGACTAGGAAGGGATTATTGTACCTTCATTAGCATATTACTTTTGGCCCAATTCCTGAGCAAATTTGAATTTCTGTTGACCAGGAATAGAGAGGATAATTGCCACAATTATCACTTTCTTTTGCTAGTACAGGTTGAACCATAGGATATTGACAATAATACAAATATGTATAATATATTCTGAAGCATAAAATATGAAATATATAATACAAAACATAAATATAAAATATATAAACATAAACAAGCGTTTAAACACACACAAAAAGTATAAAATATGCATGATATAACAAACATTTAATTTATGTAATAGTGTCCTTGGGGAAGAAAAGAGGGGACTAGAACTGAGAGAGGGAGTTCAACTGTATTTATATATTTTTAAAAGTAAAAAGGAGTTATCTGAACTGAAAAATATAAATTATACAAGAGTGCATTTTCTTCCTCTCTGTAAAGCTTATTGCAAATAATGATAATGCACACAAGGTATTCTCAAGCATTTTGGTTGGAAGTGAAAATGGATAGAGTGAATTAGAGGACAGTTTGGCAACATATGAAATTTTAAATGTGTACCTTTCACTTAGCACTTCTACTTTGAGGCATTTATCTTAAATGAAGAATTGGACAAAAGTACAAAGATATATGTACAAGGAAATTTAACTTTTTTTTTTAGTAATGGCAAAAGTCTTTATAGTGGTGAAACTACCCCCCAGCTAAATAAATTATGATATATACATGGAATGCTAAGGATCCATAAATAATGATATTTTTCAAGTAAAAACTTAAAATTTATATATCTGTGGTATTTTAACAGTAACAAGGCCAGAGAAAACACATATTTAGAAACACACATTTTGCAAGGAAAGAAATATGAAAGTTTATCAAAATATTCTTGATGGTTGTTCATGGGTGGTGACATTATGGATGATTTTCTTTCACGATAACTTGGTGTTTTGTTTAAATATTTTAAAAATATTTGTGTTATTTTCATAGTTGGAAAAACCTTTACATTTATTTTCTTTTTGTAAATTAAAAACATAAAATTAAAAGCTGCTTACATACTAATTTGGTCTAATTCCTCCTATGAAGCAAGTAAACATTGTGTAGATTCATGTATTCAACAGATATTTTATGGAGGCTGCGCTGTGTGTCAGGCACTACTGTAGGTGATGGAGATACAGACAGCTCATAAACAGGGAAGCTCTATTCATGGAATACCTTGAATGAGGAGATACATAATAGACAGGTAAATAAATAAATGGACAAAGCACTTTCAGGTAGTTATTCAGTGCAGGATGTTGAAAACAATGATGAGAAGGTGTGTATGCACGCATGCTTGGGTGGCTTTAAATTGCATGGTCTGTGAAAGTCTCTCTGAGCTGCCTATGTTTGGGCTGAGAACTGGAGGACAGAAGGAGCTAGGCCTGTGAAGATCTGGGACTGAGGTCTTCAGGAAGAGCACACAGCAAGTGCAAAGTACCCAGGTTGAGTTTGTCATATTCAAGGAACAAAAAACGAAAGACATGGTGAGTAAAACTCAGTGATATTGGAGAGATAACAGGGGCCAGCTCACACAAAGCCTTGCAGGTCATAAGGACTTTGTACTAATATCGTATTGTATGTGTTGTGGGAACCCATGGTAGGGTTTTAAGCAGGAAAGTGACCTGATCTGATTTATGCCTTGAAAAGATCACTGCCTGCTGTGTTCAGGATAAATTGTAGGGCAGCAGACGTGATAGCAAAGACATCAGTTAGAAGTCTAGACAGAAGATTATTGGATTTGAATCTGAGCTGGTAGCACTGGAATGTAGACAGATTTGAGATACATATTTGGAAGTATAGTTCATGAATATCAGAACTGAGGGGAAAAAACTCCTTGACAATAAAACAGGGATAATGTTATCTCCCAGGGTGTCACCATGAGGAGCCACTACATGTTGAGCATTTGGCATATGACTTCATGTTAGCTACTTTTATTATTGTGATTTTTATTATTGTCAAGGATAGGGCATGTTACATGAGCAAAATTTTTCTGTAAAAGTTAAATTACACCTCTTGTATAACTCTCAGATTGGAAGTCTGTTACAGCACACACTATGTGTCGGTACAGATTAGAGTATTACAGTCTTAATTTTTAGTGATAAGAGAGAAAGGTGCATTGGTTTTTCATTAGTACTTCACAATACTAGCCACAAATACATATATATAAGTAGCAGCATTATTCCTTTAGAAATTATGACTTAAAAATTTTTAAAGATCTACAAGCTTGATGGAATGGGGCACTGGAAATCTTGTCTGCAGTATGTGTCAATAATGCTTTCACTTACAGAATATTTCTCCAAAGTCAGTTAATGATGTTACTTTCAAATTGTGTGGTTTTCGGTTCTTCGAAGTGACCCCAATTATTATTTTTATTTTGGTTCTTTAGACTCAAATAGGCAAATCAACTAATAGAATAGTTCTGACTACAAACCTTGGTTATAAAACAAAGATCCTGTGTATAACCTTCAGAGATAATGAATTCTCATTGTGTATGAAAAAACAATGCATGAGCATTTAACATTGGTAGAATGATAAATAAATAAATACAATTCATACACAATAGAGCATCAGGCAGAGTATATATTTTGAGTGAACTTTATAGTTTCCTAAATTTCAGTAGTTTAAATAGTGGACTAATTTTTTATGAATAATACAATCTCTAACTTAATGAATTCTAATAATTTAAAATCAAATTAGAAGATAATGACCTCATAATTGCCACATGAAGTGCCTGTTTACTGATTTTGACTGTTCACCACTACCTTCTATTATGAACACATATTTAGCACACATACTCATACATACATGTATTTTATACAAAATTGTGTTATATAATTAAGAAAATAAAAACAAAAAGAAGAAAATTAAAAATTTCATAGTATTACTACTTAGCGATTGAGCGTTTTTTCCTATCCATTTATATTTTAAATATATATTTGTATTTTGTTTTGTACATTTTTAATATATAAAAACACCCTTCCATGTTATTAAGTTTTCTATAACATCTTTCTTTTTCTCTTGTATATATGACTTTTACTTTAATGATTTTTTTAAAATTGTGGTAAAAAATTTATAACAACATTCACCATTTAATCATTTTTAAGGGTACATTTCACTGGCATTGGGTACATTTGTAATGACTGTGTATTAGTAGGGGGAAGGACATTGAAATTAGAGAATTAAACAGAATCTAATATCTATGAAGTTCTGCAGGTATTTAAAAAAAAACCCCAGCAACATAGTGACAATTACTTTAGCATGTATTCTATACTTTTATTGTTCCAGTTACTAATACAGACTTGACCTCTTTTCACCCAAAATTTTCAGCTTATTTTGAAAGATATTTTTCATGGAAGCCTAATTTTGACTTTGTGATATGTCTGTGAAAATACACCATTTCCTGCTTCCTTGGAATGAATGAATTTCTGTAGATAGTATGGAAGACATGCCTTGAAATTCTTTTTTTCTCTTTTGCTGTTTTCCACATGGTTATTTGTATATGTATAAAATGGAGGAACATGTGACTCTTTTACCCCCTTTGAGTTTTATTTAAAATGCCATTTTCTAACAATATTACATAGTAATAGCATGGAGGTAGTGATACCTAGCCAATAAGACCTGATAAAATTTAAAGTGGGAAAGAATCACTAATATAAAGGTCCTAGCTTGTAAAGATAAAAATACTAATATTTGTAGTTTTCTTTTTTAACCTGCTGCAGTGTAGTTTGCAGTTTTATTATTGTACAAAAATTACTTTAAAATTATTAATGGCCATTTTTTTTCTTCTCCATTGATCTCACTAAATTCTCATCATGCTAGGCTTTGCATAATGGTGTACTTTCTTGGTATTTCTTACCTTTCTAAGTGTTTGCCTAGTCCTTATAGTGCTTCAGACCCTTTCTGGCTGTTCCCATCCCCCTTTGCTTTCTGAAAACTGCGATTCTCTTACCAAAGTTCTGCTTCTGTATTCCCAAGTGCCTTTATTCCCACGTGTTTTCCATATTATTTCCTTAAATTCAGTAAATCTAAGCTTGAATTGTTTCACTTAACCACTCATTGCATGTAGTTTGGCCACCAGTCCTAAGAATAGATATTTGGCATCATCTTTAGTTCTTTCTGTTCAAAATCCTCCCCCCACCCTGCTGTAACCAAATAGTCACCATGTATTTCTGGCACTTACACATTCCTCTCCAATTTCCCTAATGTAATGTTGAGTGTTGTGATTTGTCTTACACTTGGTTCTCTTAAATAACCTTTATCTCTTAAAATACAGAGATGAGTTTTATACATATAATTTTGTGTTGTGAAACATGGAGGGAAAGTGAGTACCTTGGACAGGAGTCTTGTTTTGTTTACTTTGTGTTTCCAGCACATAAGTGTTTAAGAAATGTTTTTTGAATGAACTGCCCAAAGACTAAATTTAGAGCTTTTTTAGTTCTAAATTCTGTGAAATGAGTCAGTTTGAATGGAGCTGATGTTTCTTTTGTTTTACTCTTTTCACTATACAGTAAAATACTTTAGTTATTCATGTTTGTTGATTTTGTTAAAGGTAGTCTGATGGTTCTTTTTACAAAATTGACTTAATGTATAAGACATTTTCCCCTTTCTTTCTAGGTTTTGGAAGGAAGGATGTTGTAGAACACTTACTGCAGATGGGTGCTAATGTCCATGCTCGTGATGATGGAGGTCTCATCCCGCTTCACAATGCCTGTTCCTTTGGCCATGCTGAGGTTGTGAGTCTGTTACTGTGCCAAGGAGCTGATCCAAATGCCAGGGACAACTGGAACTATACCCCTCTGCATGAAGCTGCTATTAAAGGGAAAATCGATGTGTGTATTGGTAAGTATTATTTGATGATACCTAAATTATAAGGTCAACCTGACAGGTATACAGTTTTTAAATAAAGGTTTGTTGCTCTTGTTTTTTACTGTGTTATAAATAGTGTTCCCTTAGACTAGGTAAGAGTTTATTGTTTCTTCTAGAAGCAATTCTTTTCCATCAAAAGAGAAGTAGAGAGATGGTAATCTAAAATTAGTTAAGAACAAGATTCACAACATTAACTCTCCAAATGCAAGTCAAATGACAACTGGCGTAGAACTAAATTTTGATGGATTACTGTTGTCAACTTTAGTTAATTTACAGTCTCTTTAAAAGACTGCACATTTTCCATGCTGGCATCAATGAGAGCCATTATAAAGTACATGTTCTTACTGAATTGGATGACATATTTGGATACTTTAGGTTGGTTAAAGGAAAGTCATCTAGTACCCTACAATAGTCCCCCCTTATACGTGCTTTTGCTTTCCCAGGTTTTGCTTTCCACGATTTTGATTACCCTTATTCAACAGTGGTCTGAAAATATTACATGGAAAATTCCAGAAATAAATAATTCATAAGTTTTAAGTCAAGCACTATTCTGAGTAGTGTGATGAAATCTCACACTGTCCTGTCCCAACTGTCTGGGGCCTGAATCATCCTTTTGTCCAACACATCCATGCTGTCCTTGCCACTCGACAGTTAGTCACTTAGTAGCCATCTTGATTATCAGATCCACTGTCACGGTATTTCAGTGCTTGTATTTAAGTCATCCTTATTTTACTTCATAATAGCCCCAAAGCTCAAACCTACTGATGCTGGCAATTCAGATCTGCTAAAGAGAAGCTGTAAAGTGCTTCCTTTAAGTGAAAAGGTGAAAGTTCTCCACTTAATAAGGAAAGAAAGGAAAAAAAAATCAAATGCTGAGGTTGCTAAAATTAGCAGTAAAAATGAATCTTCTGTCCAAGAAATTGTAAGAAAGGAAAAGGAAATTCATGCATTGTGTGTGTAGAGTTCAGTACTATTTGCAGTTTCAGACATCCACTGTGGGCTTTGAAAGTACCCAACTCAGGTAAGGGCTACTACTGTACTAAGGCAAAGGCTTGTTCTTTATTTTGCTAAAATTGAACAACAGCCAGTTTATTAGTACTGGAAATTTTGAGTGAGTGTTTCAAACATAATAGTTCAAAGTTTAATATTTTCAATATGTGCCATAGTTTAGAGAAAAAGCAATCTCTAATGAAAGTGAACTTTTCAACCATTTTCAGTATCTAGATGATATGAAATTGTATTAAGTCAGCATTTCATTCTCTCATATATATGTATTTAGATTTTGCTTTATTGTATAAAATACTTTATTTTGAAAGCTAAAATAATCTTCTAGAGGACACGCATAGTTTCTCTTGAGTTTGTCATCCATTTCTTAATATTCAAGATGGCAGATATTTGTTTAGTCCATGGTAGGTTGATTTACATAATTGTTGTTTTCCTAGATGGCATCCATTTCAGTATAATCAGTTTTTTAAATGATAAAACTCAAATATATATGTCATTTTAAAAGATATAGTGGTGCCACTAAGTTTTTCTTTTAATAATGAGTAAGATTATTCCTTCCTCATAGCTGGCTATTCCAGCCTCCAATCTATATTTCAGTTTTCCTCAAATTATTGCACTGCCTGACATATAACTTTTTTTTTTTTTTTTTATCACACTGTCTGCCATTACCTTCTGTCACTTCAGCATCCATTGTCACAACCCTGGAGATCCTGTCCTTTTAGGTCTTTAACATCTTCCACTTTCAGTTGACTCTCCAATTTCCTTCTAAGTGTCTCACTAACACAGCCACATCCTGGACTAAGTCATTACAAAAAACTACCTTGAAAAACTTGAACTTATCCTCTTTCTGACCACAAAACCCTTAAGTTACCTGCTTTTCTATGTGGTAACTATTATTGAACTTGATATATATTCTTACCTAGTCTTCTAAGTTTTCAGCTTCCCTGCTGTCACCCATTCTTGCTTCACCTTGTTGTCGTATCCATTGGATTTTTCTCAGTCATTAGTCATAGAATTTAATACTCTACTCACCTTCTTAAAATATCATCCTTTCTAAGCCTCAATGTTCTATTTTTCTCCTCTACCTCTCTGATATTTTCATACTGTCAACACTTTGAATATCTTACTGAAATTAATAATCCTATCCTTGTGCTCTTACTCCCCCTTTCAAAAGTACATAATGAAAATGCTCCTTTTATCTAGATATAGGTTCTGTTGAAATACTAGATGTAGGACTTGAATTTTTAAAGAATGAATCAATCCCTGCAGCCCCCAACTCCCACAATTCTCAATAGGCTTTGGCACAAATTGTCTTCCTTCTGTTTAAGTTCTTGGGCCTTGAAGTTGAGGGAAGGGGAAGGGCACCTTTGAAACTATAATCAAAATATAAATGAGGATATAGTTGCTATACATTACGTAGCATAGTTATGGGAATCAAGATTGTTTGTAGACCCTTCTGTATACATAATTAGCTTTCAGGAACCTCGTGGGAGGTTTATTTTCAGGCTCATTGAAACCTCTGATAGCTTATATATCATCCTTGCTGAATTTGGGTATAGTTAAGGAATTCTGAGGTGTTTCTGTGAAGCAAATTTTCACTTTGGGACAGCTGGACAAAAAACTTAGAAGATTTACCTTTTTTCCTTTTTTGCTCGAATCTGATGTTTTTTTGAGAGATTAGTGTTCAAAATTGATTTTTAAAAGGTTTTTGCCTAGATGATGAAATGCTAGCCTGATTATTTTTAAGATTAATCATATCTCCCCTTGGCTGCCTACATGTAAAAAAAAAAAAAAAAAAAAGATTAATCATATCTCTATATGTGGGATAGAATAGCAAATATATTTGATATTTATAATGCCAGAGTTAAACTACATTACCACTGGCTTAAGGGGGACATCTGGAGAGATTGCTGTGGAGCACGTACTCTGGGCTTATATCCTGACCACACCAGTTGGCAGCTGTGCGTGAGACCAAGGGCTGCGTATTTAGCCTCCATGTTTTATTGTACGTGAAATGGGAATGCTATCCATACTTCACAGGGTTCTTGAGAGGATTAGCAAACACGGATAAAGTACTTAGAGGAGTACCTGGTACGGTGCACACCCAATAAATATTAATTGTCATTATTAATTACTATTATTGTTGCTAAGGTCTCAACTTAAATTATGCTACCATGTGGTGTAGGCTTCCTTGTTTCCCCTGTCCTTAATTGACACTTCTTAAAAATGTCAATTTAAAAGTCTTCAATCCAGGTGTTTCTTTCAAAGATGCTATATAGGTCTCATTATAAAAGAAAATATAAACAGATTATTTAAAAAAATCAACTTTAAATGCTTGTATAATTAAACCAACTACTTAAAACAGAGGTCCTGGAATTCATTAGATTAGTGTTGATGATATAATTTTTATATTGTGTAGAACAAATTGAATTTACTTAAGAAATCAATACATTTTCTGCCTTTAGAATTTATTTATTTGTCCCTGCTTTCTCTGGCCCCAGAATATTTTTCTCTAAAAAATTAAATAACTTCTTTTCTGAATAAATGATTTTTTTTTTTTTGAGACGAAGTATTAGAATGATTTTTTTTTTTTTTTGAGATGAAGTATTAGTGCTTGGAAATTCCATTTTAAAAGCAAATTATAAACATACCTTTCATAGAATCAGCTGGTATATGATCTGGGAGTCATAATGGACACTTGTCATGTTTTTCTTTTTTTCCTTTTTTCCTTCTGGCTGACTAGCATCCTTTAAAAACTGTGGGCAATCATTATGGGGAGGAATACAGAAGCTAGTAGAGTTAGATTTTTTCTTCTTTCTACTTTTTGGCAGTCAGGGATAGCCTTGGTTTGGTCAACCACACACTCCCTTTTGTAATGTAGAATTTTGAGTACAAAGTCTTAGAGATATTTAGGAATCAGCAGCAGAGTTTTGCTACAGTGTTGGCAGTGGCCTGGCCATAATCTTCCTACTAAAAGACAGTTGTGCTTCCTACTACTTATAAAAAAGCCGTATAGCTTTTTATCTGTTTTCTAAGGTTGGTCCTCTACCCTCCTGTCAGTTCAGTCAAAGACAGACATTGGTTTTATTATTTGCAGATGAATAGAACTGTTACAGAGATATTGAGAAAGTTGCTAAATGGAAGTTGCAGAATGGGGACTCTAAACTAATGAAGAAATCTCTTGAATCTTTGTATAAGTCCCACTATCTTTACACTATTTACCTGTGTACCACTTTCCCATCTCACCTTATACCCTGTGATTCTCAAGGGTGAAGGGGACACCTTGCTGGCTCCACAGCAAGTAATCCTAAAGACAATAGAGGTGTATGGTCTTCTAACATATGTGGGATTCTCATGGACTGGAAAACCCCAACATCTGGACTTGAAACCCAGCAAGCCAAGTGAAAACCAAAAGCCCTTCTCAGCCACAGGGGACGATTGAGGCAACAAATAGAATACATGTCCAGGACTGCTAAGGGGTCAGAAAAATACCTGAATAAGAAAAATAAAAATATCCCTCAGGGAAATTCAAGTGTAGTATGTAGAAGAGATTTCTGGGCCAAAAAGACCCTAATTTTTTTCAGAGTGAACAATTCAGTAAATGAATTAAAGAAAGACCGTGTTAATAGCCTGGAAGATCAGATGTAAGAAATTTCCCCAAATACAGAGAAAAATGTTAGCATATGGCTATTATGAAGAAAAAGATAAATACATCTAGGAAAGTCACCATTATTTTAAAACCTTACATGTGATAAGAGCTCCAAGATTGGGGGGGGGGAGAAGAAACTGATGAATGAGATCAGTAGTAATTAAACATATGACAAGCAAGAAAAACCCATATTGAGAAAAACTCATATTGAAATAGAAAAGACTCAAGGAATTTCATATTGGATTGGTGAGAAAAGACACATTAAGGAAGATATATTCTTGAAGTTTTTTGGGAAGAAAGAACAAGTTGCCTACAGAGG